ATATTTAAAATTTTTTGGCAGCTCCCATTGTCCGGCCAACAACACCAGAAAATCCAGAATCTTCACCAAAGCGTATTACAGAAAGAACGGGCCCTGTTATGTCTATTGAAAATGGTGTTATCAAGGTATGGTTGCATAAACTGCTTGCCTGATTAATAATTATTTAAAAAAATTGTGTTAAGTTAAAGTCTTTATAATTTTTAATTTTTATTTCAATTTTAAGAAATTACATGAAGCTTAATGTTTCAGGGAATAGATACAAAATTAAATGACAGGCTACTTAAAGCGGTCCATTCGCATCAACCATCATTGATAGCACCTAATAAACAAAGTGGTAAATATATCAAACTTTTATTTAATTTAAATTCACAACCTAAATTGCATTTGAAATCGTCATTGTAATAAATATATTAAACGCTACTCATTTGTAAGGCAGATTCACCTGAGAATGAGTAACAAACTCTTTGTAAAGATACAGGTGGTATTACAAAGGTAACATATTGCATATGAAGGTGTGATGCATACAGCTGGTATTTCCATATCAGTCATTACCTATATGATATGCAAGAAACGTGTGGACACGCAAACATTTCCACTCGTGTCCACTACATGTTTTATTTGTTTATGGCTTATAGCAATATAAAAACATCCGTGTATGCACTTACAATATTTTCAGGTAACTGTCTCCTACAGAATGCTCACTTTAAAGTGGTCAACGAAAATTTCGCTGCAAACTTACCCAAAGAAGACAACAAGATTGTCTTAAATGAACAAATCCGATTGGTTGTGGAACAAAAAAAAGTGCCAAGCATACTGAAAAGGCCTTTAGTGACAAAGACTCCTAATATTGTGATACCTGCAGAGAGTACAAAGGGCGGGAAAATCGCTATTTCTCCATTGCCAATTGTGAAGAGTCATAGTACTAATGGATATCAGATTAAGGTACAGATTGTTGTCATCATGTAATAATGTCACAGGTTTTTTTTGGTAATGGATTATTTTAGTATGGCACGAAGCCGCGTGCCCGCATGGGGATGTTATGTGGGACTGACCCTCCAAATGGAGGGCATATTTTAAATGCTAGAAAACATGCATCTGCGTGAATATCAGAAAAAGCTTTAAAAGGGTAAACTTAATGTATGATTTGTAGGTAAACTAAAAGCAATTGAAATTTTTCATAATTTTTTCCTGTAATTAATACAAAAACACTTTTTCGTCACAGACCTGAGTTATATAATACAATGAGTACTACATACTAAATTATGACACTTCTGCCTTCGACATTCTCGTTAGTTGTCGTTAATTACTCAAATATATTTTTACTGAACGAGGGCGCCAACAGGGATTGGCTCCGATTGTTGAAGCGAAACGCACATATTGCGTGGCCTCAAAACTTTTCCTGACCGGCTCAAGCCAATTCCAGGTCGATAAGTGTTGTGACTCCCTAACATTACAGAAGATAAACTTCAAATTCACGTAAAGTTTTGTCCATTTTACTAAGTTGTCTATATTACAATTTGTCATATTTCCAGATGTCCCCACCCAGAAACAATGTTGTGATAAACCCAAATTCCGTCATGGCGAACGATACTAAACCGGCAGTACAAAATGGTGTGATAGGCCAAGCATGTCCAGATAGCCCTGTAGACCTGACTGGCCTTAGCGAAGCAGATATTAGGGCTTTGAAAAAACAACAGAGAATGATCAAAAATAGGTATGTATTTGAAACTAATCTTTTGCGGACCGGCTACTGGACGGGCGGATATAAATCTTTTTACATATTTTCTATTACTCATTGTTTATGTATATATTTGCCTATGGTGCGTTCGTTTCTATTTCGGCTTTAGCTACTTTTTCTCTAAATTATAATTTTATTTTGCTTTACTCTGAGCCTGATTTTCCCACTATTCCTTAATATTTTGGTCCATTCGTCCTGCAATATTTACGAAATTACAAATTTCGAAATTTTTCCCAACCATATTTCTTTTCCAAACCATCACAAATTATAAGCCGTGCTCAAAGTAAAGCGAAATAAGATCTTTTTTTTCTTTTACGTCATTGGACAATTTCGCAATTCACGAATATTCATAATGAGTGTCGAGTGACAGATTGACAAAACTCACAGACATATCTCTAAATAGACACCGCAAGTACCGCGATCTGTATGAAAACTAAGCGTGCTACATTTTTGTACCTCTCATGACGTCACGAGCGCTATTTAGTAATGGGAAACCTCCTTCGACACTACAGCGATTGGTTAAATTGAAGACGCGGACGCAGCACGTATTTAGAGTATTTCAAGTATTTGTTGATTGTGATTGTATCGGGCCGACTAAAACATCTACCTTAAATTATCTTTCCACGCTTCCAACTGCCGACCATCCTCCGTTTTTTTTTAAAAGAGTTTACTGATTGTGATGGTAAGAAGGGCATAGAATCTATTTCGTCCAATGCTGTTGGCAGTGACCATATTGGTCGTAAAATGTTTTTATTCATACTTGGTGAGATTTTACCTGTGATCTGGTATATTCTTAATTTTTCTATCAGCAGCGGGGAATTTCCTTTCCTTTGGAAGTAAGCTCTCATAACTCCTCTTCCCAAAAAAGCCAACCCATCTAACTTTTCTGATTTCCGACCTATTTCTATACTTCTCTTTCTATCAAAGCTGCTAGAGCGACTAGTTCATAACCAAATTACTCCTTTTCTCATACGTAACAACCTTCTTAATCCCTTTCAATCCGGCTTCCGACCAGGACACAGCGCTGTGACTGCTCTTGTTAGGATCACTGATGACATTAGGTATAGTATGTCGCAACAGCAACTCACTGTAATGTCATTGCTTGATTTCAGCAATGCTTTCAACAACGTTTATTTTGACATTTTGATTGCACTTTTACGCACTCTTAACATATCTCCAACGGTAATCTCTTGGTTTCATAGTTACCTGAAAGGGCGTCGGCAGTGTGTTCGCATTGATGAGAGGTTCTCTTCTTGGTGTGACATCAGTGCTGGCGTTCCCAGGGCGGCGTTTTATCTCCTCTTCTCTTCTCGATCCTTATTAATTCCATTTCCCGCAGTCTTACCTCATCCTACCACCTGTATGCAGATGATTTACAAATTTACACTCACCGGCAACTTGAAAACCTGCACGAAGCCATTGAGGAAATCAATAATGATCTCCGTCATATTTTGACGTGGAGTAAACAATTTGGTCTTAAACTAAACGCAACGAAAACGCAAATGATTGTTATTGGCAGCTCTAGAATGGTATCCAAGATAGATTGGTTTCGCTTGCCACAGGTTATTATAGACGACACCTACATTAAAATTAGTGACAATGTAAAAAATCTGGGTATACTCATTGATAGGCAGCTATCTTGGGCACCTCAATTAGTTGAGACCAGCCGCAAATTGTTTGCGTCTGCCGCATCTCTTAGACGGTTACGTAATTTCTTACCTATTGCCACGAAAACTGCGCTTGCCCAAACTCTTCTTCCAATTCTTGATTATGCTGATGCCTGCTATCTGGATTTAACCGAAGAACAGCTCAACAAGCTCGAACGTCTACAAAACTTTTGCATCCGTTTCATTTATGGTCTGAGGAAATTTGATCATGTTTCCATTTATCGCAAGGAGCTGAAGTGGTTACCCATTAGACTTCGCCGGAATGCTCATATTCTTAATCTTCTTTATGGCATCTTATTCATTCCTCACACACCACCTTATCTTAAGGAGCGATTTGAATTCGCCCATCAATCCAACCCCCGACTTCAGCGCTCTTCTTCAACTCTCCAACTTAAGATGCCATTGCATACCTCCCAGTATTACGACAAGTCCTTTACTGTTCAGGCTATTCGTTTGTGGAACGCTTTACCTTTGTTTATTCAACAAGCGAAATCATTGAATATATTCAAAAATATGGTAAAAGAAAATTAATTTAGTGTGACTTGGACTGCTTAGGTATTTTTATGTTTTAGAAATTTTATATTTATAGGTATAAGAATATATAGTAGTTTACGATATTCATATATATGTATTGGTTTTATTATTTATTTATAAATATATGTACATTTGCATTTATTTATCAAATTTTATCTATTAATTAGTAATTCTTCATACACCGCCGTCTTTTTCCTGTGAATTATATAATTACTTCCATCCAAAGGTTGTCTGGCAGAAATTGCTTAAAGCGATAAGACCGCCCATTGTACCACCGCTTATTTTTAATTTAATTGTATTGTATTTGTTTCCTTTTTTGGTGTACAATAAAGTATTTTTGTATTGTAAGAACTCGTGAAATATTATAATAGTAAGATGTACCAGTACCAGAATCAGATAATTAAGCCCTTTATTAATACGTGTTTTGAAAAAAAAGTTGCTAAGGAAATCTAAAAAAACAACAAACTTAATAGAATATTTTTATAACATTTTCTAAGGTCTCAAGAATTATCATCCCTTTGTTTCCTATATTGATCAGAATCGAGAACTGTGTTGCATCAAGTGAACATAACTAATCGTAAAATCTGACCAAATAAATGACGAAGCGGCCATACCACGAAACTGAATGCATTATATAGAAAGTATCGCTCATTCGATATTCATGGCTTACTAAAGAAGGACTCAAAGTATACCGCATCAAGTAAAAGCCGCAATTTATTACGAACACGCGGCATACACTAGTTTGCATATTTGTTTTCTCGTTCTCTGTACCGTCTAGGCTCTCGGTTTTCTCTCAGAGAAAAATTTAAGGAGACTGGTATCATGACTGTGGCATCAGAGTACATTTACTCAAATATTTTATATGCCCGTAAAAATATATATAATTTCAAGAAGAAAGAAGATAGATATCCATAATATTAACCTTAGAGCTAAGTCCGAACTCATGGTGACACGATTTCGTTTAACCAAGGTAAACAACTCTTTTATGGGGAACTGTATACGTTTTTACAATAAGATTCCGGAGCATATATTATGTTTATCGTTTCCTAAGTTTAAAAACTACATTACAAATATTTTGATCGAAAAATCATATTACAAAATTGAAGACTACGTGTTAGATAAAGATGTATGGTAAGACGACATGGCTCCAGACAAATTTGATTCAAAATGTATTCCATAACATTTAAGTTTATTTGAAAAGAGCAATCCCTAGAGTTTCTTGCTCGTTCTTCTCAGAGAGGTCAGCGTAGTGAACGAGCAGTAGCTTAAATGTGATGTTTTCAAGTGTAAATTTATTTAACCTATGGAATAAATAATCTTTGACTTTGACTCGAAATTCATTCAAAATGAAAATAATTGATTTTAAAATAAATTATGCATAATTAATCTGATTACAAAATTACATAGCTCTGGAAGGAAACGTCCCTGTTTATTTATCTTCTCACAGCAACAGTGTTTCTGCAGTTTCTAATGGCACAATTAGGCATTTCTCGCGTTTTTGACTGATGTTTAACTACGATAACGACCGGGCGTGTTCTGAAGCGTAGCAGCGGCAACTAAGCGTTTATAGCTTACATTGGGCACGCGAAGTAGGTATATGGTCTTATTCAGAGGGGCGGCGGGCGCGGGTGCGGCCGCGCGCCGTTACGCTAATTGTATCCTTTGAAGATCACAGACAATATACTCAAGGAAATAACGGCATGCTATTTATATAGACAACATTTTTGTGACATCATACGACGGTAGCGGCGCCTAGATGACGGCATCTTTCTCTTAAAACAGTAAAGCCTAAGACAGTTACATACACCACATGGAAACATTGTGTTACATAATCAATCACTGGCCTTTTTTATAAAAAAATATGTGCACATTTGACCTGAATCTCACCTGATGGAAAGTGATGATGAGGTCGACGATGTAGCATGCACATCAAAATAATGCCTATTCACTCTTGCCTTAAAAAAACCCAAGTTTTAAAGTATATTCTTCAGGCAGAGAATTCCACTTCATAACCGTTTGCCATATAACTTTGTATAAATTTTTACACTTTTTGCTGCATGGTCGGTGCGTGTATCATTTGTGGTTTTGTGTAGGAATTTTAACTGGAATTTCTGTAGAATATATACACTCCCGGACACTTAATTCGAGCCACCTCGCATCAGTATTAAATGCCCTAAGCTTAAACAACGATCGATTGATCAAGAACTATCCTACGCAATTTTGAAACTAGTAGATTAAAAGTCTTTTCCATAAGCCCTTGTTGGAAATTTGGACTTGCAAAACCGAGGGAAACCTTTTTCTTCGATGATAACACTATTTTTGAATTCTAGCCCTTTAAGGCAAAAATGCGAGGTGGCTCGAATTATGTGTCCGGAAGTATATAATAGTGTATAATTGCGGTGAGTGAGGTGGTTTCTTAATTATATACTTAATTAGAAACTGCATACTGCGGTGTCTACAGCGACAAAAGTATTTGACTTGTACTATACATTATATACAAGGTGAAGCCAGAAAACCAGCAAATTGCTGAGGCTGTTACTTTTTCTTCAACACTGATTTAGATTTTAAGCCACTATCATTGGTATTTTAAGTATTTATGTATCTTGTATTATATTGTGTCGTTGTAGTGTTGAAGAATAGTCTTTTTATTTTATTTTTTATTTTTATAAATGTGGAAATGCAATTAACCAAACACTTGTATTCAATTGTCACAAACTTCCAGAGAGTCAGCATGTCAATCTCGTCAGAAAAAAAAGGAATACGTAACAGCTTTGGAACAGCAGCTGTTAGAAGCGCATCAGGAAATCGCCAGGTTGCAGCTCGAGAACAAACTATTGCGAGATCAACTCGGCAGCTGTGGGACGAGGCGAAAGGTTAATTACACTACAGTAATAATAGACTAGTACTTTTAATATAATTTTTTAAACCTTTCGCGATCACTATTACACCATAAAAAAAAACCTCGCATACACTTTTTCACATAATTTGTTTTTACTGATTTTTCTTGAGGAAATACTTGGTCCTTGCTATCTGTATCTATTTGAAAGAGGAACTACAAACATTATTGCGTTTACTACATTTTGCACTACATTTTTGTGTTCGTACTGAAAAATTACATAGAAATCACATACGAGGTATTCATTCTAAGACGATACATACAATTGAACGAGATTATATTAACCGCTTTCCTTTTTTGTTAAGTAATTTAATAATTTAACAAGTGACTAACACATTATGCCGAAGTGAAATTCAAGTGAGTTCGAGATCCGAAAATAGTTAGTCCGAACCAGGTAGATCTAACACTACATGCAACTCTCTAATTTCTACTATCGAAGAATCGGCATACTCAAAGCATTGTTCATCTCTAAACCTTTTTCTTCTAATATATATAGTAAGGACGCTGTTATTTTAAGAAAAACCGTAGCGTAAAACATTACTTTTAGTCATCTATAATAGGACTAGTGATTGCTCTCTGTCAACTTGTTGCGTAAAAATAACTTTTTTCTTTCAGATACCCCGTCTCGACGCTTCACTTCTTATACCCAAGAAGAATATTGCTGTCATATTTGCAATGGTTTTCATGGTTTCGTTAAATTTTAATGTTATAGGGTATGTCAAGTATTACGAGTACTTTAAGTATTTTAACAATGAAGTGGTATAAAGATGTTTTCATTGTGTGTTTTGTTTTAAAGGTGGCACAGCACTCCTTCTATGGGACCATCTGCACCAGATAACATTCAGAGACATCTCTTGTGGTCTGAAGACAGTGCAGAAGTGGTTCCGCCCGGTATGGCATTATGCTTTTCATCCAATTGTCCTATTTATGGATTGTGTGTGAAGCATATGGGTTGATACAGAACTCCAAATGCACTTATACCTATTTATAAATTTGTTTCTTTTACAGATTACGACCAACCCTTAAATCAAAGTGCTCTCAGTTCGGATTGTCGAAATAAAACGATAGCAAACGAGGTTTATATGAATCAAACTGAAAGTATACGAATAGCTAGTGACCTAAATCGATGGATTGAAGGCGGGAAGATGGTCAATTGGACATTCGACTTGCCAAAGAAGAAACCGAAAGATTATTTGAATCAAGAAAAAATTGATGGTGAGTATTCTTGACCCATGCAAGAGAGGCAATGGACCAGACTTAAATTGTTTGTTTCTCGCGTATACGCATTTGTACTTTTGATTTATTTTATTAAATTAATCATATTTTTTTTATTTCAATTGTATTTTCTAAATGGGCTTCGAATTATGTACATGGTAGTCCCTCCCGCACCCGCTCCCGCTCCAGCTCTCCCTCTCTATCCCTCCCTCCCTCCCCTTCTAAATCCCTCCCTCCCTAAATCCCTCTTTCTTTCTTTCTCTCTCTCTCTCTACCTCAAACAGGATGGACTATATTTTGGATTGAAAAGAATTTTGCCTTAATCAACGTTAATCCCTATTTTCAGGTGGGCTTCTAGAGACTTACAAACTATTCAACAAATTGAACATGGATAGTAATTTGGTAGATTTTCCAACCACAAACCGAAGAGCTATGAAAGAGAAAGCACGGTTACGACGATTGCGGCGAAGTAAGGATTTAGACTTTCCGGAGAATGCAGTTTTAGACTATGACACTCTATATCACAAGCCTATAAGAAAATCTGTGAACAATTTTGATATGGATGATTTTGGTGAATGGCACGCGTTGCTCCAAGCGCTGCACAGGCGAGATGATACGTTTTATGTGGTTGGTGTTGGCAAAGGGGAACACTTATTACTGCCTGCAGTGTCTCACAATGATACGAGACCCCCTAAAATGGCGCTTATATTGCCAGCGAGAAATGGAAACGGTAAGCACTAGATATGGCAAAAACGTGTATGTCACTAATTAATTATACTGTTAGGCGATTTTTCTACAACTGTTATTGTAAATTGTCGTCAGAAAACCTCCTATTCTGCTGTTTTGTACTTGTAAATACAATCGTACGTGTTCGCCATCTTGGATTTACAAACAAGTGCCATATTCGTAATGAGCACCTCCAAATACCTCGAAAACAGTACCCAACTTGCCATTATTCGAAAAATCGTGCCCGCCACTTGGATTTAGAAATGAGTACCATGTTCGTAATTAGCACCCCCAAATACCTCCAAAACGATACCCATATTGCATTTTTTTTGAAAAGTCGTGTCCGCCATCTTGGATTTACAAACAAGTGCCATATTCGCACTGAGCACCCCCAAATACATCGAAAACGGTACCCAACTTGCCATTATTCGAAAAATCGTGCCCGCCA